CTCAGCCACACATCTGTAAAGCCTCGTGACTGAACAACCTCGTCTCACCCTGAAGTTGTCGAAATCTGGCACTTGGGCAATGACTTAGGGCGAAAAAGCTGTCCTTTAACGTCTGAATGATAGCAGCTGGTTGCCGTTGTAGTTTAATGGCCCTTGGTGGTGTAAGGGTGAAACAGGGCGGGACACGAACGAAAGTGAAGGCGATGGGGAGTGGTGGTTGATGGGTCCAACAACTTCCACCTGAGAGAGGTTATAAAGCCAAATCTTGTTCTTTCTTCCTAAACCCAACCACATGCGTTTGTTGTTGAAGGAAAAAAACGACAATGTTGTACTGACATAGTGCCTTTATTTTGAAAGAGACTGTATGTAAGTGATAAATTTCCTGTAAAAACAGAAGTGTATTTTGAAAGAAGACAATGCATGTAACAGGCAGAACTTCAGACGGCGTCTCAGAACATCAACAACCAACATACCCAGGATGCTTTGTGTCGTATCTGGACGTGGAAAGTCCATGACCGAACGCTGATATGTGACGAGGTCGGAGTTAGAATGTGTTGGACTACATCTTGCACCGACACTATTGCGGCGAAAAAAATCTGTCCATAGACAGACAGATATATAGACACCTGGCAAAGTACAGCTTCTGTGGTAGTTTCCAGGACCACATTTTGACATGATGACACGCACAAATACAAAGATGTATGTTCATTATGTTATGCTTGGTAAATGTTACTGACATTTCAGGCTCTGTTTACTTGGGTGACAGGTGTGTCAGCCAGTCACAGTCATCTTATGTGCTGTAAGTTTGCAGGTGGAACTAGTGTGTTTATGAGGAAATAATACAGAGACTAATAGGAACTCATGCATGGTGTTGGGTGGTGTAGTGCTGGTTGCATGCAAGGACATGATGCTGCAGGGCTGATAGTAAACTCTCAGGCTCTAATCACATCATCAGTTTGAGCCTGAGGCTAAATATCAGATCTTTACGTCATCAGCTCAGCAGGCTCACGCTCAGATTATTGTTTGGTCGCTTTCATAAGAAGATGTGAATGCATGATGTAAAGATCATCAAGATAGGGTGCCAGCAGTGAATAAATTACCTCCCATCAGTGATGATTTATGGTTCATGTCTGTGCTTCACAGCTGCCTCTTTAACCTGCCATTCATCCCACTTTCTCATGTCACATAATATGACTTCTATAATAAATCATTAGTTCTTACTCAATCTGTGCGTTAGGAGTTTAAGCACACTCAAGCTAGAAGTGAACCCAACGTGCTGAGGACTATAACACGATCCTGCTGCATGCTGAGAGGTTAGTGGTGCGTGTGACTGCCGGAGCGTACTTGATGGGAATCACACTACAATAACACGCTCGATCCCGCTCGCTGGGGTTTCAGTTTTTACATGTTTGATCCGCAGAGGCAGGACATACCAAGCGTGATCTTGGCATGTGACCCCCGCCAGCTGTTCAGTCACCGTACCTCTGACCTCCAAACCCCTGAGAGTCGGAGTCAAGTCATGCTTGACTTGGTGGGGCCTGTATGAAAGGTGGAGACCCGGTGACTGAGGGATTGTATCAGAAGCATTAGAGCAACATGGTGGAAGAGCAGGTTGAAATTCCTGGATTGCCACAGCACATGCCACCAGTAATAATACTTTTCTTGGGAAAAGTTGAATAGTTACAAGTAGCATTACCCTCATCAGAAATTATTCAAATGTCTGTTAAAATGATAAAACCATGTCAACTTACTGTATATTCTGGTCCATCGCCTCGCTCCCGCAGTGACCCAGTGACGCTGACTCCCTGCAGCTTTCTGTGTGTATCCTGAATGCCAGGAAGGAGTGGGCTGAGACTGACGCCTTTCTCTCCTTTTATAAATCAGGCTTTATGAGTTGACATAGTGTCGTTTGTGCATTAGGCCAGCCCCGACTCCAAAACAATTCAAAGAGCAGTTTGTTGGTCTGGCCCTCGTTGGCACAAAGCACCTCATTCAGCCGGAGTCTGAGTGTAGGAAGTCATGTTTTGTCCCCCCAATTCTCTCAATCCAATTCACTCCGACAAAGCTTTATTGGCAGGACATTTTGATTTAGAATAAAGATGCTGGTAAATAATAACCCATGTTAAAAGTACTTCTATGTGGGACGTGGAATTATACTTATACTCATGTAGATAATGGCAGAAACAGTGATCTACTGATTTTTTTGTTTGTTTGTTTCGCCACCAGGAGACTCATCCACATCTCACATGGGGGCCAATTATTAGAAAACCCAAAACAGGAAGCCAGATTATTTTTTTTTAAAGTTCCACTAATTGACATTTTTTCATATTAACACTTTATTAACCCTTTGAAACATGGAGAAACATTCCTTTTCTCGTGCTGCTTTCAGATGCCCTTTTTAAAAGTATTTAAACCTTTGAACCCTGAGCATCATTGGTGCGATATCTTTCAGAAATATGAGAAAATAGGCAATGACCAACTTGGTAAGAAATGTCCTGCTTATTGCAAAATAATAATAATAATGTAATAATATACATTTAGAAAATTATTTTTAAAAAACTAGGGAAAAAGAAAAACTATATTTTTTTTATTACATTTTAAATTTATGTAGCAGAATTATTATGATTTTTAAGCACATTTTCTTTTTATTTTTTATTTTTGATTTCCTTGTTTGTTTTTAACTTTCTTTCTTTCTTTTTTAAACTAATTTTCTTTTTAATTTTCTCTTTTTACTAATTTCTTACTAATTTTTGTTTGTTTGTTTTTAACTTTCTTTTTTGACTAATTTTCTTATTTTATTTTTTCTTTATTTTACTAATTTCTTAATCATTTTTTTTCTTTGTTTTTAACTTTCTTTCTTTATTAATTTTCTCATTTTCAATTTTCTTTATTTTACTAATTTCTCACTAATTCTTTTGTTTGTTTTTAATTTTCTTCCTTGCTTTTTTTAAACTAATTTCCTTGTTTTTATTTTCTCTTTTTTCTAATTTCTTACTAATTTTTGTTTGTTTATTCTTAACTTTCATTCTTTTTTAAACTATCTTTTTATTTTTAATTTTCTTTCTGTTACTAATTTCTTACTAATTTTTTGGAGTAATTTCTTCTTTCGTTGCTCACTGCCTTCTTCTCATATTTTTAAAAGAAATCAAGAGGTGTGGTCAGGATTCAAATGGTTAAATCAGACTGCACAGTGTGATAGGTGTTCTGAACCAATTCTGCAAATTCTGCAGCTTCACAGAACTTTTTAGCCTCTTTTGGTTCATAGTTTTGGCTTCACTGCACATTTACTGAATCATCATCAACCTAAACTCACTGTACATCACCTGCCCAGCACCAAACCTGAGGAAGTTTACTGATGTTGATGCTATTTTTTAAGTTCTCCTGAGATCAAAAGTCCATGTGCCCTGTTTAAACAATCTATGGTCTAAAGTGCATGGGGCAAGTGCAGTCAGGGTGTGTCCAAACACTTTTGCTGCTTAAATGGCACATAATGTGGGTGCAAAATAAAATACAAAGGGCAAAAGGGTTGCATTTAGGCCCTTAAGGTGTTTTGGGACATAGCATGAATTCAACCAATCAGTGTCAACCCCCATTCCCTTTAAAAGCTGGGAGCACCTGCACCTGGTGGACTGCTATCTACAAGGCAGGTTTGTCAAACTGGAGAAGCGAGGGCGTTTCCTGCTGAGTGATGCAGTCAGACTGGAGTCAATGTTTTTAGGGGGACAGAACAGGGACCCCCTGCAACATATACTGTGTTGAACTTCATTGCACTTTAAACTGGGCGGATGGAGGTTCATATCAGTCTCAGGCTGCAGTCTTGACTTGTGTGGGTGAGAGAGGAAGCTTCACTTTCATGATGGCAAGTTGTTTCAAAAGGCAAAATATGTTGCATTCATGTTTAGGTGTATTTTCTGACATATTTTAGTTATTTAAAAGACAAATCAACACGTTTCATACAATTATCAAACAATAATTTGGTGGCCTCCCTGCAGTTACTCTGAGGACTCCCTTGGGTCCTCCTGTTGAAAACCTAGGCTGTAAAAGCAGTAATATCACTGCTGCACATATCATGGGACATCTAAGGGCATCAGTGAAGTTAAGCTGCCCCTCATTCATAAATGTGCACAGCATGTCTCTTAATGTAGAGTCAGACAGCAGCTCTGCTCTGCTCTCTGCTATGTTCACATTTTAGAGAGTGTTATTAATATTATCCCCAATAATGATGTATTATTTCACAAACCCACAACCCATCTGTGCATCCCTGTGTGTGTAACAAGCAGAGTGTATGTGTGATGTGAAAAAGATATTTGTAAGCCCAGATATTTTATCGTGCAGCTCCTCTGGACTTTTGAAATGTTAACATACTAAAGGGATCAAATCGTGATAGTGAAACATGTCACTTTTCCGGGGTTGTGACATTCAGAAAGAATTATCCACTGACTCACAGACATGTCTTTCACAATGTAAGTCTACCGGGCCCAAAGGCATCACATGGTGAACCCGTAAGTTGTGCTTGTTGGGCTTCAAAGCCCAGCGCACTTCCTGGGGGCCTGTTAGGGATGCATTAACTTTTTCCAGGTTAGAATCTGCCTGATAGATGTTTATCTTAAAAATACTTGTTTAAAAACTGCAGAGACAAGGAGAGGCTCTTATTTGATGTAGCTTATTATTGGCTTGGCCTGGGATACCCTTCTCAGAACAAGAGGCTCAGTGCAGTTCCTCTCACAGCCAGCAGATGTCTCTCTTGCTTCACTGTCATGTATCAATCCAGCACAGGTTCATTTGCCTTAAGAGGAGAGTGTCCAAAGTTCAGCCAAGTGTTCCCTACTGTGAACCTGCAGCTTCAGATCATGCACTTTATTAGCATTCATTAGCAGCAGAGAGTTTTTTAATCCTTCATGCAGGAACCTTTTAATAATCTTTGTGATGTGGGGATCAACTCTGGTTATGATTTTAAACAGAATATCCAGAGCGTTTGTTACATTTTCCTATTTTATAGTTCATACGTCAGTCTGGGAACTCCACCCTCGTCTCCGTCTGGCTCTCCTCCCTCTCCTCATCCTTCTGTCCTGCACCAGTCTCGAGCTCCAGACCTCCTCAGGGAGCATCTGAGGCATACCAGGACTCTGGAGGCCCGGCAGATGTGGATTCTTCTCCTGAGCTTTTAAGCAGCTGCTGTCTGAAACCACAGATCTGGTATGTTGATCAGATCTGGTTCTGGGCTCTCAGCATTTAGGATCTAGATCTGTAGACCTGCAGAAAGAGACTCCTGGAGTATGAGGGGGAGCCAGGTGCTGCAGCTGTCCCTTTTGTTGGTGGGACTATGTCAGGCCCGCCGTGCCTCTCCACCCGGTGGTCCCTCCACACCCCAGGAAGCAGGTGAGGTCCCTGTGTCCCAGCTGAGGATGCTGTCACTGGGACTGGCTCACCTGCTGCAGGGGGTGGAGGAGAACGCCGAGCAGCTGGAGCAGCAGGGAGAGCAGGTGGCGGCAGAGCTGGACGGAGCCACAGAGAGTCTGGAGAGCCTTCGTAAGCAGAATTTACAGGCAGGACGGACTCACAGGCAGGTGAGGAGGAATCAGAGCTCACAAGTCAAACTCTTCACTGTTCTCTGAGCCCACAGGTCCACAGCATTTTGTTCAGCTTACACATTCTTTGGAATTTGAGCTGAATTAATCTGCCAATAAGTTCCATGCTTATTCGATTATTCGCTCAGCCTGAAATGTAAAAAAATATGTAAAAAAAAACCACCCTCCTCAATTCTCTGTGGCCCAAGCTGATGCCATTCAGTTGCTTGTTTTGTCTGACCAGCACTCTGAAACCCAAATGTATTCTATTTTCGTACCACATGATTTTAAGAATAGCAGCAAATCCTTATAAAAAGAACACTTTCCTCACCTTATCAAGGTAACAATAAACTATATTCTGTACCCTCTTGTTTAAGAGCTATAATTTAAAGTCTGAGCTCTTTATGCTAAAAATATAAATAAATTAATTATATTGACTTTTAGTGCTGGAAATGTTAAAATCCTTAAGGGTAAATTTAAATTGCCCTTTTGCATGGATTTTTTTTTTTTTTTTAGCTATTAATTGATTTCTATTTTTGATATTTTTGTATTTCTCTTGTTATTTAATCTATGACATTGTTTTTACTTATTTTATTTTACTTGTATTATTTTTATTCCCACTTTTATTTCTACATTTTCTTGGGTGCATCAGTCTCTGATTGATTAACTGTTTATATTTCTGTTGTACTTTGAACTAGACTAACCTGTGTAACAGGTACGATAAAAAAGATAACGTTTGGTTCATTTATTGATGGATGATTTTCTCAACTGTGTAACTTAAATTTCTAAATGGTGCACCCACTCATTGGACAGAGGCTCCTCAGTGTCTCATTTTGCACTGGTTTCCACAGCTTGCATTGAAAGCTGGTCTGGGCAACAACAACTTCTTAAAAGTGTAATTTTTCTATTGTTTCTTTGTTTGCACATGAAAAAAGGACAATACAATCATTACTGACAAATAAAAGAATAAGGAAAAAAGGATAGCAAATGAATCACAGTCACAGTCAGTGAGATGTTAGCTGGTTTCAAGCTGTTCCAGAGAGAAGGACACAGTTTAATGGTACTGCAGACTGGGAACACGTATAAGTCAAAGAGAGTCCTTCAAAGACTGTGTAGGACATGTAGCCCAATTGTAAGAATGGCACTGTACATTCCTGCAAACCATGGATACTATACATTTTTACATTATTTTGTAGCAGATATGTTGAAACTTTACATTATTTTATGTGTCAACAACGCTGTGGTTAATGTGTGGTTATGTTCAGGCACAAAAAATACTTGGTTATGGTAAAGAAAAGATCACATTTGGGCTCGAAATACCTGCTTTTCGTGGCACTAGCCCCAGTCGAAACACAGCAACGGGTGGCTAAAAAGCCGCTTGAAATGCAGCGAGGATTCACTAACAAAACAATCAGGGTGGTCGTCTGAGGTCTGAAACAGTGGTCTGCAGCTTGGCAGGCATCTCACCTAGACACACCATGCACCATCCTCTCCTCCTCTCCTCCTCTCCTCCTCTGATCTAGAGGAGGAGAGGATGGTGCATCTCACCTAGACACACCATGCACCATCCTCTCCTCCTCTAGATCAGATAGACAAGGTCAGCTCATGTAGTGTGTCACTTTAGAAATGTTGATAATACGTACAAAATGTACAAATGTAATGTTTCCATGATCTGTAGAAAGGTACAATGCCAACATTTTCTTCCAGGACAGGGCTGGAATATGAGTCAGCTTCTGAAATTAATTGCCAAAACTTGGAAACCACTGGGAGATACTGTATCAGCAACATCCAGATACTGTGACAAATATCATTGCTTTGAATAAAGAAGTGTGATGTTCTGTCTTAGGTGAGGAAGGACCTGCAGATACTGAGTGCCAGAGGGGACAGGCTTTGGAGGGCTGCCAGAGATCTGCAGAAGGGGCTGGAGGATCTGGAGAGGGAGCAGGGAGCCATGCAGCACCGCATGAACCGGATCCTGCAGAAAGTGAAGAGCCTGAGCGATCCGAGGTCAGTGGGTCGGACTCAGCTCGACATCAGATCCGTGAAGGTGAGAAAAAACCAAGAACTTAACCAATAAACAAACAGGTATTTGTCTTGGTGACACAAACCGACATTTGGCCAGTAAGTTGGTGGCTTTTGTTAACATGTCAGCAGACATGACAGATTTGCCTGTTGCAGGTTATCATGGATAAACAGGCCCGACGGCTCGCCAGTCTGACCTCAGAGGTTTCAGCCCGAGACAGAATGATTGACAGGCGCCTGCAGCACATTGACCACCTGGAGAAATGGGTAAGTTTGGGCTTACAAATTATTCTCTGACATAATTACTTTAATTATTATACTATTACTATGATTATTTTATTTTATTTATTCATTCATTCTTTTATTTTATTTTATTTTATTTATTCATTCATTTATTTTATTTTATTTTATTTTATTTTATTTTATTTATTTTTTTTTTTTTATTATTTATTTTTTTTTTTTTTTTTTTTTAGCTATTAATTGATTTCTATTTTTGATATTTTTGTATTTCTCTTGTTATTTAATCTATGACATTGTTTTTACTTATTTTATTTTACTTGTATTATTTTTATTCCCACTTTTATTTCTACATNACAGAAATAATTTTATAATTTTAGTGGTGGAAATGAGTCATGATATATAATAATAATGATAAAACAATTAATTTTATATTGTACATTGTATCTAAAATGTTGCATTATAATCAGCTTTATATAAGAACATAAAATGACACAAAGATTCAAAAAGAACACAGATAAAAGGTCAGAAAAATATTTTTCATAAAGAAACAAAAGAGAGATTTTCAACCAAATAAAATCAATAGTAAAAAACAGCATGTACTGTAGGCGAGGTAAAACACAGTAAAAGTTTCCAGCTCAATAAGATGAGCTCCGAGTCTTCTTTCAAAAGTTGTGAGTGAGGTGGACACTCTCAGCTCTGAGAGTCTGGAGGCGTGTGAGCTAAATGCAGCATCGAGTGGGAGCAGAACACAGAGATCTGTCAGGAACAGGAGCTGTGAGGAGTTCACTCATGTAGTCTGGAGAGAGGCCATAAAATATGATGAAGAGCACCTTCAAGTCAAACTACAGCTCAGTGGGCAGATGTCAGTGTGCTGCTGATACTGTATGTACAGCAGTTTTTGTGAGGATCCTGGCTGCAGACTTTCAAGTAATGAGCCCTGATGGATGTGCTGCACATAAGTCTTAGCTATCTGTGGTTTAACAATAATGCATTTCTTTATTTCTGACCTCTGTGTGTTTGTTGCAGGTGTCCGCGAGGCCTCCAGCAGCACTGAGAGCAGATTCTGACTCCGACTGTGTCTGATGAGCACAGCTGCATCAACACAGCCGCTCTGAACTGGTTCATGACAAGACTTTGTAAGGCTGACAAAATGAACTGTGCTGAATCTCACCAAAGGATCTGTCACAATCAAATTCAACTCTGCTGTGGGTTCCTCTCCAACATAAATGTGTCAAATACAACATAACACAAACTGTTGTCGGTGTGTGTGTTGTCCTTAACAAGACACGCCTCTGTTTAAAAATGATTCAGAAATAAGACACTCCTCTTCCTGAGTCATTATGTTGAGGCTATGACTTCCATAATATTGTGGTTGACGACGGCGGTGAAACGCCTTGTGAAGATACACTTTGCTCACACACACCCAAATAAACAGACGCACACTGAAGTCAGAGACACTTTCATACATAAACACACACTGCTGAGAGTTTTCTGACCAAGTTATAAGTCGTTTATGTTTTTGTTTGTGTGTGTGTGTGTGTGTGTGTGTGTGTGTGTGTGTGTGTGTCTGTGTGTGTGTCATTAAGTTGATGGGTCACATGTGCCATAATGAACACTGTATAATGTTGAGTCATGTTCAGTGAAGACAGAGGAGTATTATTTCAGTAGTTACAATAAAAGTAAAATATTCAATGATTGTACAAGTGGTTTATGTTGTTCTGTAAGTCTTCATACTGTGACATAACATACTGATTACATCACATTTTTTTGGATATGTTCATCTAAATGTCGTTACAGGTCAATATCTCTCAAGCTCAAGGCTGTCTGGAGTTATTAGATAAAGACCACTTTTACACAACAACATCTGTTTACAGGTTTTGGGACGTACTGCTGCATATGTGTATACAAATAAAGTTGTACGAACCCTTCTGTGTCTTTAGAGGAAGCTGCTGATAAATTGCCTCAAATGATGTCACCTGAGTCAGCGTCAGTTGGGGTGAAAGACTACGAGACTGAAAATGAAAGCTAGCAGCTCGAGGCTACATTGATAGCATGACACACTTAGATCTCTGATCGAACTGTCAGAGGTCAAGCTGCATTGTGGGTAATGTATGCACCAGGTTTTGAAGGAAGGAGAGAAGAAGATTACATAGAATCAGTTTTCATCATGAGTCTGACAAGGTTAGGGGCCGCACACATGCTGCACCCGAAAAGCGTGAGGTCAGGCGTTGGGTGCTACTCTTGGACCTTCTCTGTGCCAGCTTTCAAGAGCACGCCGGCAGATTGCATCTGAGGTCGCTAAGCAACTTCAACAAGCACCGATTCATGGCCTATATACCTGAAATCCTGAGTGCAGAACTGATCTTCCAGGCACTGTTTTGTAGGTGTGTATCAGGCCAAAAATATCGTCCGTGGGGCAGATGTAAAGCTCTGGGCACTAAAATGATTAACATCTTTTTCATATTTACCACCGACTGATATTCAAAGAAGAAGGGAAAGACATCTGTAGGCTGTGATTGGTTGGTCCTTGTCACATGACATGCAGTATGCACTGCTGTGTTCCAAATGTTGAATCCTGTTCATCTCAGGTCACAACTTCATAGCACATTTCATACACAAAGGTAATTCAAAGGCTTTGGAAAATGCATTAAAAAAGACAGTGTAAGATTTTTACATTTAAAAAGAAATTAAACAGAGAAACAATACTAGACCAGTGGTTTCCAACTAGTGGGTCACGGTCTAAAAGTGGGTCGCAGGTCCATTTTGAATGAACCGCAAGTAACTCACGAAGATGTCAAGTTTGTACAAAACACATTTTATTTTTAAGTACAGTGAATTTCTGGCACAAATCTTTTATTTTGAAGTGCTGTTTCCTGCTGTAGAGGGAGTGAAAACTGACAGCTGCTTAACAGAGGCAGCAAACTAGCTTTATGACCCAGCCAACGCCAAACCGCTGAACATATTAAACTGTGTGGACCTTGAACTCATGACTAAAGAGAAATCTAGACCTCATAGCTGGACCAGTAAGAAAGAAACCACTGTACTAAACTGTGAATACAATGACATGGGCCAAACTCTAAGTGCAAGGTTGATAAAATTGAGTGTTTAAGGTTCAGTCGAAAGTGGAAGAGAACTTAAAAGTTTTTAACTTATTAAAAGTAGCATAATAAAAGACAATCAGAGATGTAGGCCGGCCCTAAAGCGCTGAAAGCTTTATAAACAAGCAGCAGTTTTCTTGGTCTTTGTTAGCAGCAACATGCTAAATGAGCTAAAGTCACCAGAGTGTGCACACTAGACGTGGCTGTACTGTACTGTAGGTGACTGTAGGTTTACTATCTCTTGTGTGTGGACTCTGCAGGTGTATTATATGGGGGGAAATAAATATGTGTTTGTACTCAGTATCAGCTTATGCTTAATATTAAAGGAACCTGATAGGGACCTCCCTGCTTTTAGTGTTTGCTGTTTGCCTGAGTGTATACTTACATGTATTCAGCTTGCTCAGTTCAATTCAGTTCAATTCAGTTTTAATGTCATTCGCTTTTTACAGCAGCATACAGTGAACGTACTGTCATAACTCCAAATCCAGGTGCAGTACAGGACATGTAGCAAACGAGAAATTCAACAGGGACGTGACAACATTAAAGTGCAATAGAGGAAATTGCAAATACTCATGAAAATAAAAATAGTAAAGTGCAGAGGAATAAATATTGCATAGTAATAGACTAATTAAACAGCACAATGATGACCTGGATAACAATTAAAATTAGTTTCAGAGTATATTAAAACCATACTGTATGTAGACACATGTTCGTAAAGGGTTCTGTTTAAAAGTTTCAGAGCGGTGGCCTGACATGACTAGACCTGCCACGATAATTACCTTGTCAGCTGGTTGAGTTCAGCAAAATTAATCGAGGTCATGTCCTCAAGAATGCCGTCAAAGTTTGGCAGGGTTTTCCCCGACCATTATGAGACCTGGTGACAGCGCATAAGCTGAATGAACAGAGAAAAAAAATGCTGAGACACGTTTTGCTGTCATTTCTGGTCAATTTAAAAGGTTGTTGCTCTTTGAAGGGTGCACTTGCGTTAATATTCTATTATATTATTAATGTATCAGTGGCATTAATGTCTTGAAATTACAATAATATTGTTAAGTGCAGTTGTTTCTGGGTCAATATATCGTCCAATAAAACTAGTCACAGTAACAGGCCTCATAATCACGGATGCTCACATTTTTTAATCACTGGGGGGTTTCATTGAGAATTTAAGTCTAAACTCTGACAGTTTATATGTATATGTGGGACAGGAAATCTTCCCACCAGCTCTGCACCCTCACAGCTGTCTCTGGGCCAAATGTGACAAAGGTCATGTGTTGAATCTCCGAGGACTGAGGTGATATCTGATGGCCTCAAGTCCTGACGGCTGACTCGCAGGCAGTCTGTCCCCTCTGGTGTTCCCAAACAAACCTCCGACAACACGAACTCTGTCCCACTTAGAGGAAAGACAACAAAGAGCTGGGGAGGAGGAAAAAGAGGAAGAAAGACAGTGAGAGAGAATTGTTCTCAGGATTAAATAACAATACAGAAGCGAGTGCAATTAATGAGGAAGGAGTTAGAGCAACAAAGGAAACAAAGTGAGGGAAGGAAAGTGACACCAGTGAGTGAATTCAGGAAGCAGCTCAGATGAGTTCACATTATTACACACAGCAGTGTTAGTGAACATAGAGAGGATGAAGTGATGCCTTTGAAATGAGAGGGTTTAGCAGGTGTGTCTGAGCTGCAACAGCACCCCCTAGAGGTGAAATTATCAAAGTATCTGAAAGGTCATTTTTATGCCTGGCTGCAGCCAAGTTTTCAAAGTGCTCTCATGTCACCTTAATCTTTCACACACCCCACAAAACAATGTCTTTGCCTTTTTTCGGTTCTGGGCTTAGAGCTCAGAACAAATACAGGTCCAGTTGTGCTCATGCCAGCTGCTGTTTGGCCTGTTTGGGGCATATTTCAGAGTCTGTGGGACATTTTCAGTCAGTATTTTCTGTCTTGTGTGAACAATTCCTGCACTTTTGATAAGTTTAAGTGAAGACACAAGGTTTTTCAATGTGTACAATGCCGATATAGTGTATTTTAGTGTGGTCTGACATACCTAGGTGCTTCTCCATTAAACTAATATGGACTTGTCAGTGAAAAGACACCCTCTAACCAGCTCTGACTTATACTCTGTTTAATCTAATACGGGTTATGTAAAAAAGAAGATTCCTAATGGTGTACGTCTAAGTTTGGTGCTTATTTAGCAGTGAATTAAAAAGTGAGTGCTGTCTAGTCTATGGTGCATGCAAAATATGACATGACTGTGCCACCCCAAAGTGCAATATGTGTATAATATACAGTAATGGAAAGAGCTGAAGTGAGAGACACAATAGCGTCGTGCTGCAGAGCTCCAGGCTTGGACCCAACTCCTCCATTGCCAGGACCCAGTGTGCAGTCTACTATTTAATTGCGATCCTGATCCAGGTTCAATCCCAGGAGGGAGCCCTTCTGTGTGGAGTTTGCATGTTCTCCCCATGTCAGTGTGGGTTTTCTCCAGGTACTCCAGCTTCCTCCCACAGTCCAAAGACATGCAGGTTAATTGGCAGAGATGGGACCAAGTCACACATGTGCAAGTCTCAAGTAAGTCTCGAGTCTTAACCTTCAAATCTCAAGTAAGTCTCAAGTCTTAACCTTCAAGTCTCAAGTAAGTCCCAAGTCATTTTTTCTCAGGCAAGTCAAGTCAAGTCAAGTCACAGGTTATGTCAAGTCAAGTCCTGTAATAGGTCAAGTCAAGTGCAAGTCAAGTCACCTTATTACTGTAATTTTACCTGGAGAATCTGATCTTAGCTATATATACATCTCATTAACTCAGCTGTTAACCCAAATCAACTTCATATGCTGTTTTTAACTAAAAGTTACTTCATTTTAAAATCTTATTTATTTCATGTACTGTTTTAACATATTTATTCCATTTTAAATTATATTTACTTACTTTGCTAAGTTTTAAACTCATATTTAAGTCATGATCTGTTTTTAAGTAATATCTACTTTGTTTACTAGTGTTTTAGCATGTAATAATTACTCAATTTTAAAACCATTACTTCATTTAATCCATCTCAAACAGTATTCATTCAACTTTACAACCTAAGTTACTTGGGTTACTCAGTTTTAACCAAATTTTAGGTGACTTCATCACTGCAATGTTTACTTTGCAGGGATGACCCCCATGCGTGCGCGTGCCCACACACACACACACTAACCAAGGCAGCAGCCAAAATCACCCATTTAGCTCATTTAACCCTGTGTTGCTCGTTCATAAAACGTCCAGCCGGTCTTGTGATGAACCGGTCACAATGTTCGCTCACGTTTTCTGGGGTAAATGTTAGCAAATAAATTAGAAAACAAGTTCCACCAGTGAATTTATTAATTTTATATTCAAACTGAAAACATGATGTGAATAACACTCAAGTCATTCAAGTCATCGTGTCTCAAGTCAAGTCAAGTCCCGAGTCTTTAACTTCCAAGTCCGAGTCAAGTCTCAAGTCTTTTATTTTTTGTCAAGTCAAGTCACAAGTCATCAAAACAGCGACTCAAGTCGACTCAAGTCCAAGTCACAATGACTCAAGTCCCCATCTCTGTTAATTGGTGACTCTAAATTGTCCGTAGGTG